AGGAGAAGAATATCTTGGATTTGATTCAAAGCCATCAGTTCGCGCACTGTATCAACGATTTGGTGACTATCGAAGACTCGAACTCCGCTGTTGGCGACCAATTGGCCAAAGAGTTTCGACAGATTCTTACGCAATGTTTAGTTCACTTGAATTTCTTAAGGCAAACACTGGTCGACGTATTGCCGCAAAGAGTGTACGACAAAGCGATTGGAACCGTCATTAATACGCTTTTCAATGGATTAATAAATAAGATTTTGATCCAAAACGACATCAGCTCTTCCGGCGCCCAAAGGCTGAGCCAAGAAATTGAGTTTCTCTTCGCGGAGGTGAAGACGTTCCTGAAGACTGAAAACCCGATGCGTTTGGTCAGCAAGTGGTCCAAGTTATCTGAACTCAATTTTGTGCTTAACGTGCGTTTCGATCGTTTGGTTTTAGTTTGTATTGAAATTAATTTATATTTTTTTGACGATTTCAGGCAAATCTCTTGGAGATAGTGAACCGATGGGCCGACGGCTACGGAATATTGGCCGCGGAGTTCACGGCACCGGACGTCAAGCAACTGATTCGTGTATTGTTTCAAAATACGGAACACAGGGCTAAAACGCTCAACAGAATTACTTCCCATTAGTTTTAGTAATTTATATTAAAAATAAAATTTTAATCGTTTAAAGCTATACATTGAAAAATAAAACAATTTTATATATATTAAGAGCTATTTATTTAAATAATTACTACCTATTTGTGAACTAAAGGAAAATAAAATATTTATTTTTGACAATCAGCGAATTGTGAACGTGGTTATTTTACTAGAAATTATTGCGGATTATTTGCAATAATTTATTTGCGGAATGAGGAAAGTATGCTATCAAAGCATATTTGATAATAAAAACTTAAAAAGTAATATAATGTACACCAAAAAAGAGTGCGTCAGCCGGGAATCGAACCCGGGCCGCCCGCGTGGCAGGCGAGCATTCTACCACTGAACCACTGACGCCCACATTTACTACAGCATACATAAGCAATAGCGGTGTCTGCGTTCAGGCGGTATACAGGAGTACAGTATGCCTACAGTGTGTGCGCCGAACGCAGTGCTCATAGGATGTCATCACTGAATGCAAAGGTTTGACACAAAACCAAAACATTGGATGTTTTGCCTTCACTTTCCCCTTACGACTGGTTTTTATGTGAAGTTTACCTCAAATTCAGTGGCAATTGAATCGGCGTTTCGTTAGCTTTTAGTTACAGTTAATGTTGACATCCATTGGTTGTATCCATTGGTGTGTCTAATGAGCGCACAATTAGTGGATTAGTTATGAAATGCCTTTTAGTAACGAAAACAACTTCTTCTACCATTCGGTGCAACACTTGTCCCGATCTTTGGC